CCTGTGTGGGGCTCTGCACTCAGCAAGAGACTCCTTGGAATTCTCTCCTCCCTCTGACACTTTCCCCCTCCCTCCCTCCCTCTCAAATAAATAAATGCTTTTTAAAAAAAGATTTATTTATTTGAGAGAAAGCGTGTATGAGAGAGAGAACTAACAGGGGCAGAGGGAGAAGCAGACTCCTTGCTGAGGTGGAAGGAAGCCTGATGTGGGCCTTGATCCCAGGACCCTGCGTAACCAACTCAGTTGCCCAGGTGCCCTCAAATAGATAAATAAATCTTGAAAAAAAAATCCTCAAAACAAAACTTTGCAGTGAGTTCTGTTATTATCCTCAATTTGTAGTTGTGGAAAGTAAGATATTGAACTCACATAAATCACTATTATAAGAGAGGACTTTTTTTCTCCCTCTTAGATTTAGTAGCTTGGGTCCTCAAGGTCACACTGCCAAAGGTAGATTAACAGGAGAAAAAGTTTATTTCACATCCACTAGGGGGTTTCACAGAAAAGCGGTAAAATCCTCAGAAGTGGTTGGATCTAGGAATTTATATTATTTTAACAAGATGATAGATTGCGAGAAGTGAGTAGGCAAAGGAACGCTGTTTGGGCTTCTAGGGGTGGTAAGTAGTGGGGGACTATATGGGGAGAACTAATGGAAGGTAAGGGTTATTTTAGTAAGTTTTGTTTATGTAGACTCCAGTCCGTGAAAACTCTAGTGATGAGTCATCTCTTGGTGTGGGAGAGGGGAGGAGAGACACTTTCACAAAGGGAAGGAGAAATGTATGTCCTGCTTTTAAGCAGACAGAGGGAGGGTAGAGAGTGCTTCCTGTGTCTGCTATTTCTTGTGGCCTTCTGCTCAAGATAATCCTATGTCAAATGGCATATTATTGGAGTGGCATTATTCTGATCCCTTTCACCATAAAAATACATATTAACCAATTATTCATAGTAGTAAAAATTAATATTTTCTGTAATGTGTGACTAGGTATCCTGATATTGAAGAGGAAACCAAAGCACAGACAGGGTGGGAGACTTGCCTAAGGTCACAATGGCAAACTAAAGATACATACTTTGTCTCCTGAAATTTTAATTCCTTCATCTCTGCGGTTAGCTATATGATCACCCTGGTGTTTTCTGAGAATCAGTCCTTATACTAAAATCTACTTCAATTACTGTAATCATAATTTTTTTTCTCAAGTTCTGTTACTAAAACTTCTATTTTATATATATAGACATATATATATCACATAAATGTGATATATCTTAAGTCAAAAGCATTCAGAGCACCAGATTCAGCAATTTGTATGGTGATCTTTTGGCTAGTTCTGCCTTTAACAGTATAATCTTTGTAGGAGCTATTATTTTCATATTGAAAATACTCATTGTACTTTTCAGGAGGGGGATACTTTAAATGACCATCTTTTAACAAATGGAGTCTTGCTGGTGATGCCCAGAGCTTTGAAATCCAGCTACTTCCCCAATTACAGCCATACTGCTTCATTATTAGAGGATTAGGTATGAAGTTTAGAAAAACATTGTACACTTCAGTTCTTTCTATTCTTAGAGAGAAATACTTTTCTTGTTTCCTTTTATAGCCTCCATGCATTTGAATTTCAAAGGGAGGAATGTTGAATGGTAAGCCTCCAGCACTGGGCAGTTATAATAAAGCGAGTACAGACTGCCTTCCTGAGGTAGTCTGGGAAAACGGCACATTTGAGAACCCAAAATCATTTCATTAAAGCACATTTTAGGAGATGAATTTATTTTAACTTTGCTGTTAGCACTTCACTTTATTTGTGTTTGCAGTGCTTATAAAAGCAAATTAATAAGGATTCAAATTCAGCGGAACTTGAATTTTGTCTGCATATGATTTCCACAAGCAGAAACAACATGAACCTCTTTTTGAGGCTAGTGGGGTAATGGAAGCCAGAAAACTAGGAGTTACATGCTTCTCCCTCTCTCTCACTCTTTCTTACTTCTAATTGGTCACCAATTTCTATGGATTTGACTTTTTGAATATCACCTTAATTTAATTTTCACCTTTCTCTATCCTATCACTAATGTACCCTCAGCCTTTTTCTCTAGGTTCACTACAAATGGCCATCTATTGGATTTCCTTTTTTTTTTTTTTGCTTTGTCTTCCTATAACCCATCTTTCATACATTTCTCAATGAGCTTTTTCAGGTGTAAAACTGATTAATATCATGCTATCTGTAAATTGTGTTCACATTCATTGCCTATGGGTTAAAAGCCAGATTCCTTAATAGGCCCTTTAAGACCTGGAGCTTGATTACCACAAGCCTCCTCCTCTGATGTATTTAAATCCTAATTATAATTTTCTGAATACAGTATGTTGGGTCTTTTCATTCCATTTGCCTAGAATACATCACTTCATCCCACTTGTCTGACATCATCCTTTAAAATTCAACTATTATTGTTTCTTGGGGAGCCTTCTCTAACTTATCCTCCCCCTTCTGGATTTATTTTACCACCTTCTACAGTAGGGATGAAATAGCTTTTCTCTGTGCTCCCAAAGGACTGTGTTTTTCTGGCTTATCACTCTATTGTCTCTATATTGTACTTTATAGTTTAGCTATCTTTCTTTTCTGCCAGATTTTTCCTAGAGGCCAGGGGCTGTTATTAATTTCTAAGAGTACTTAGAAAAGCACTAGTAAATGCTTCTTTAAAAACAAAAAAAATTTTTTTAAGTAGGGCTTGAACTCGACCTTGAGATCAAGAGTCAGATGCTTAACCCACTGAGCCACCCAGGCACGCCTTAAAATTTTTTTAGTTATTTTGGAATAACTTCACGTGCATAAAAGTCAAATATAGTAAAAAAAATTACCATATACTCTTATCCCAGATTCTCCAAGTGGTAACATTTTACCTTAATTGCTTTATAATTTTTTGTTTAATATATGCATACGTTCTTCTTACATATATAATATATATTATAAATTATTATTTGTAATGAATATATTATTTATAATAATAACTATATTATATAGTTATTGTATATTTAATTATATATTATATATTATCATTAATATATGAGAATTTACTGATGTGTTCTTTATGACTTAATATATGATGAATATTTGTGAATATTCCATGCTTTCTTAAGTTATATACCCCATTATCAGAGTATGATGTTAAGTATATGTACATATTCATAATCTACTTGATCAATTTTGTTGTTTGAGTTATTCTTTCTTTTGTCCATCTGATCTGTTATTATACTGAGAATGGTATTTTTTAAGTCTCTTATTGTTAGTATATTCCTGTCTGTATTTCCTTACATTCCTTATAATTTTTGCCTTATTAAAATGGTTGTAGTTTCATTTGGAGGCATTTCTTAAACTATTACCTTCATTTTGAAGCCCTCAGCATTAAGAATTTTCCTTGTATGCTCTTTGGCTTACATTCTATGATGTTTGATATCAAGATTACTACCTCTGTTTTCTTATTGTTTCCTAAGCTCTGCCAACCAGATTATCTTTTTTGAGAATTTGAATCAATGGGCACAGAGATCTAATCAGATACTATGGGACATTGGAGCCATTAAATCTTGTAGAGTTGAGGTTACAGTGTCATGAAAACGGAAGGTATGGAGGAACAGAAACTAAGATGCTAACAGAGGCAACTGAAATGTGAACAGCATTGAGCAAAGGGAAGTAGAGATGGTGTCTTTGGAGGGATGATGGAATTAGACATGAAAAGAGAACCAAAGACACTAATATAAGCAGTTTCTGATGGCTGTCTGATTCTTTAGAGGCCATCTTGAATAACTTCCAAAGATATTCAACATCTCTTTCTATTATTATAATAAATTTACTTTTTCCTTGAGCTGGTTTTGGTGTGATTTTCTATTTCTTACAATGAATTCATCTTTAAGATCGATTAATTAATGAGTCTTGAATATAGTAAGCTTTTATAGATATTTATTGTCCTGGTGTTATTATTCAGATACACTATGATGTGGGATGATAATCAAGGAGACGTATTCATTCATAGAAGTGTTTTGAGATTACTTAATGGTATAAAATTATTAAATCTATTATAAGACTTTTGGATCTAGAGGAGGCCTATAAGGAATATTTAGTTATATTCTCTATAATTTCACAGAAGAGAGGCCAAGGGAAAATGATTTGCCCCACTGGAATTAGAACTGTGGTCTCCTGATATCCAGTCTAGTTTTCATTTGACTACTTGTACTGGGTTGCATAATGACTCCTCACCCCCAACCCATTCATGTCCATCTGGAACCTCAGAATGTGACCTTATTTGGATTAGCATCTTTATATAATTATTTTATCAAGTTAAGATGAGATCATAGTGAATGAAGGTGGGCTCTAATTTGCTAAGACTGGTGTCCTTATAAAAAGGAAAAACAGAGACACAGATAGAGACACACAGGGAATTCTATGTGGTGACAAAGGCAAAATTTGGAGTGATGCAGTTGTAATCCAAGGAATGCCAAGGATGGATGGCTATTACCAGAAAGTAGAAAAAGGCAAGGAAGGATTCTCCCTTACAGGTTTTAGAGGTGCATGGCTCTGCTAACACTCTGGTTTTGGACTTCTAGCCTCTAGAACAGTGAGACAATAAATTTTTATTCTTTTAAACTACCCAGTTTGTAGTATTATGGTAGCCCTAGGAAACTGAAACACTACCCCATACTCTTTCTTTTAGTATAGAGATCCTTCTCTGAATATCATTAAGAATTCTACAAAAAGTTATATTCTTTGTACTTGAGGGAAATAGTTTTTCCTGTTGAATACATTAGTCTTTTTTACTCTTCTGTGTTCTTAGCTATACACTTGTGTCACTTAGGGAATTATCGTATTGTCGTATCCTAGGATTTTCAAAGAAGTATGTCAGTAAAAGAATTTTGCTTTTCTTTTTAGAGATAATTAATGGTGGTAGGCATATGAAATGTGTGTATGTATATTTTATGGATTTTTCTGTGATACAGATATTGTGATGTATTGTACTCTTGCTTTCAGATTGCTGAAGCTAAAAGAGATGTTTAACTCTAAGTTTGGATCCATTCCCAAGTTTTATGTTCGAGCACCAGGAAGAGTCAACATAATAGGTATTTCAGAAGTTCCTTCTCTTGACTCCTAACTCTTGGAAATGAACAAGGGGTACTGGAAGGGGAAGTGAGCGGGCGGATGGGGTGACTGGGTGATGGGCACTGAGGGGGGAGCACTTGACGGGATGAACACTGGGTGTTATATGTTGGCAAATCGAACTCCAATAAAAAAATAAACAAAAAACAACAATAAAAAACAAACAAACAAAAAGAAGTTCCTTTTCTAATTTTTTTTCCTCCTTTGGTAAGATTGAAATTTTTGTTAAAATCCTGTTTTTTTTTCTTAATTTTTCCCAGGAGAACTGAGAAGAGTATTTCATATAGTAAGATAAGCTTTTGTATTAGGGAACACACTATGTTTTCATCTATCCCAATGCATGTTATTAATGTTAATTTTTTCCACTTATTTAAAAAATTTGTTGAAACCTGGTTATTGATATTGTTTTCATGGGCAGCCCAGGTGGCTCAACGGTTTAGCACTGCCTTCAGCCCAGGGCCTGATCGTGGAGACCCAGGATCAAGTCCCACATCGGGCTCCCTGCATGGAGCCTGCTTCTCCTCTGCCTGTGTCTCTGCCTCTCTCTCTGTGTCTCTCATGAATAAATAAATATAATATTTAAAAAAAAGATATTGTTTTCATGAAAGACGAAAAGATTTTTTTTTGTGCTGCAGGTTAAATTTTTAATTTGTGGTGAAAACTCTTGGTGGTTTTACATTTATTCATTGGATTGGAAGAATACTGGGAAGCCCTTTTAAAAGTGTAGTGACATGTTGGGAGCACCTGGGTGGCTCAATCGGTTAAGTGTCTGCCGTTGGCTCAGGTCATGATCTTAGGGCCCTGGGATCAGAGGCCTGAGTCAGCTCCCTGCTTGTCAGGGAGTCTGTTTCTGCCTCTGGCTCTGTCCCTTCCCCTCCCCTCGTCCATCCCCCATCCACCCAGGATGGGTAGGAAATATCAGAAAGGGAGACAGAACATAAAGACTCCTAACTCTGGGAAGTGATCTAGGGGTGGTGGAAGGGGAGGAGGGCAGGGGGCGGGGGTGAATGGATGATGGGCACTGAGGGGGGCACTTGATGGGATGAGCACTGGGTGTTATTCTGTATGTTGGTAAATTGAACACCAATAAAAAATAAATTTATTATTAAAAATTTTTTTCTATAATTAAAAATGTAAGCATACAAAAAATAGTTGGAGTAATATAATGAACTCCCATGTAACTGATATCTAGCTTCAATTATTATTAACTCAGGCGACTTATTTTACTTTGAGGCAAATAATGGCGGCTTTTTTTTTTTTTTAAAAAAAAGGGATGTTTGAGCATGGTTAAATGAAGGAGGGAGGGGGAATGGAGTAAAGCCAGTGGAGAGAGAGATTGTAGATAACTGAGAAGGGAGGAACTGATGGAGCAGATTTCCTGAAGGCAAGAGGGGCTGGTATCTAGGGCATCAGAAGAGGGCAGCTTTGACTCTTTTAGCAGCAGGCAAAGAAAGAAAAGGATGCAGTTTCATGTAGATAAATGTATAACTTTCTCCTTGTGAAACCAGTTTTATATCCCTGTCTTTTTGAAGGAAGTTTGTGAGAATGACAGCTTTGAAAACCACTTCTCCATCATTGTCAATCCATAAAAAAGAACCCAACTCTTTATCATTTCATTTTATTTTTATCTTTTTTTTTGAAAGATTTATTTATTCATTAGACACACACACACACACACACACACACAGAGAGAGAGAGAGAGAGAGAGAGAGAGAGAGAGAGAGAGGCAGAGACACAGGCAGAGGGAGAAGCAGGCTCCATGCAGGGAGCCTGACATGGGACTCCCTGTGGGAGGCCTGCTTCTCCCTCTGCCTATGTCTGTGTCTCTCTCTGAATAAATAAATAAAGTCTTAAAAAAAATTGGTTAGGCATTTAGTTATGCCACAAATTTGAATAAAGCAAAGTCCTCAACTTAGCGTGTTGGCTAATAAGGAAGGATGAGGTAATGTAAGGCAGAGTGTGCTAAAGGCTTCAATTGTTCATATTTTAAAAAATTACTTCTTTATTTATTCATGAGAGACACAGAGAGAAAGAAGCAGATACACAAGCAGAGAGAATAGCAGGCTTCATGCAGGGAACCTAATGTGGGATTCGATCTGGGGACTCCAGGTTCACGCCCTAGGCCGAAGGCAGACATTCAACTGCTGAGCCACCCAGGAGTCCCTTCAATTGTTCATATTTAACAAAGTAATAGGAAAGAGCAACAGAGAAATGAGATAGTAGTTTTTTTGATACTCCATTTAACTAGTCACAAAACAAGATGTTTGAAGAAGATCACTGAATTATAAAGTAGAAAGAAACTTGTAAGATTTAAAGGAATCTAAAAATTAACAGAAATTAATAAATAACATACTTATTCTAGCAGATGTTTCAGGCTAGAATGTCTGGGAGAAAAAGAGAACTGAATCGTTTCCATTGCATAGTATTTTTATTTTCTGTTAAAACCTGACTTGTGGTCAAATTTTTCTTGTATATCAGCCTACTTTGAGTTTCTCTTATTTTTTATGCTGCAATATTAAAAATTCTTTCTCTTTTTTTTCTAGGAGAACATATAGATTATTGTGGGTACTCTGTTCTTCCTATGGCTATAGAACAAGATATGTTAATAGCTGTGGAGCCTGTGAAAACACAAACTCTTCAACTAGCCAATACAAATCCCTTGTACCTGTGAGTATTTAGGATTGATACTATGTGTAATGGGGTGTGTGTGTGTGTATGTGTGTGTATTCATATCCAAATGAACTCTTTAGAAGAAATCAAATTTGTAATAAATCATTGAATTTATTGAAAATTTACATCTTAAAAAAAAAAAGAAAATCTATATCTTACTTCCCAAGAGTCTGAGGCTTCTCTTTCATATTTTTCATTTGCTCATTCATTTGAGAAACATTTCCTGAAGACTTACTATGTGTATGGCATTGTTTTAGATACTGGGCCATACAAAACTTAAAATAACTCTGTCCTTTCCCCGAAGGTATTTATTATCTGTGTAGGTAGCTATCTTCAGCCAAATCAATGGTGGTGCCTTTCTGGTATTACTGGGGCACCCTCTAATTCTCTCATCATAACATTTTATCACATTATATTATGATTACCTGCTTACTTGCCTGTATTCTCCCAGTAGATCATAAACTCTGTGACTTCAGGTACTGTTGTATCTCCAGTGCTGTAGGCTCAGTGTCAAACTTCAAGTCTTGTGCATAATATATATAAGTTTCTAGTGCATATGTTTTATCAAGTTAGGGACATACTTTGTATTTCCTCTTGTTTTTGAGTTCTTAGTTTGCTGAGATTAAAAGAAATTTGTTAATGGGTATTGAATTTTATTAAATCTCTATTCAGTATTAAATAATGGTTTAAAAAAAGTACTATGAATTACACAGATGGGTTTTCTTTCTTTTTTAAGATTTTATTTATTTATTCATGAGAGGCACACGGAGAGAGGCAGAGACACAGGCAGAGGAAGAAACAGGTTCCCTGTAGGGAGCCTGATGCAGGACTCCATCCCAGGACCCCAGGATCATGCCCTGAACCAAAGGCAGATGCTCAACCACTGAGCCACCCAAGTGCCCCTGATGGGTTTTCTAATGTTGAGCTATTTGTCGCATTCCCGGATATGTCCTACTTGCTTATAGTATAGTTTGATGGACTTGATTTGCTAATTACAAAAAAAGATTTAGGAATATGTTTGGCACCTTGTATTTTTGGCTTATTATTCATTGGCTAGTTTGCTTACACAGTAATACTTGTTCATTCAGTGAATATTTTTTGTGTGCCATTAATAAGGCACAATACAGGTTGTGCAAAATACAGAAATTTCTGACTTTTATGTCCTAGCCTCAGCAATCAGACAACAAAAAGAAATAAAAGGCATTCAAATTGGCAAAGAAAAAGTCAAAATCTCCCTCTTCACCGATGACATGATCCTGTACATAGAAAACCCAAAAGACTCCACCCCAAGGTTGCTAGAACTCATACAGCAATTTGGCAGTGTGGCAGGATACAAAATCAATGCCCAGAAGTCAGTGGCATTTCTATACACTAACAATGAGACTGAAGAAAGAGAAATTAAGGAGTCAATCCCATTTACAATTGCACCCAAAAGCATAAGATACCTAGGAATAAACCTAACCAAAGAGGTAAAGGATCTATACCCTAAAAACTACAGAACACTTCTGAAAGAAATTGAGGAAGACACAAAGAGATGGAAAAATATTCCATGCTCATGGATTGGCAGAATTAATATTGTGAAAATGTCAATGCTCCCAGGGCAATTTACCCGTTTAATGCAATCCCTATCAAAATACCATGGACTTTCTTCAGAGAGTTGGAACAAATTATTTTAAGATTTGTGTGGAATCAGAAAAGACCCCGAATAGCCAGGGGAATATTAAAAAAGAAAACCATAGATGGGGGCATCACAATGCCAGATTTCAGGTTGTACTACAAAGCTGTGGTCATCAAGACAGTGTGGTACTGGCACAAAAACAGACACATAGATCAGTGGAACAGAATAGAGAATCCAGAAGTGGACTCAACTTTATGGCCAACTAATATTTGACAAAGGAGGAAAGACTATCCACTGGAAAAAAGTCTCTCCAATAAATAGTGTTGGGAAAATTGTACATCCACATGTTGAATTCTTTAAAGAAAACTTTAAATTGCCTCAAACACAGTTTTGTGTCATTATTTGTAAGCATTTAAAACTGTCTACATAATAATTTGTTGTATTGATTTACTCAAATTTACTTAACCATTCCCACCATCATAAATATATGGTTTCAGTTTCATTTTTTCTACAAAAGCAGAGCCTGAGACAGACCTGAATGAAAGTAGAGTATTTGGAATATGATCCCAGGTATGGAACTCAAACAACATGGAGAATGATTTAGGGAGGCAGAGATGATTCCTAAGGTAGGTAGTCCTTGCTGTAGGTAAGGGGCTTCATTCTACCAGCACTGCTAGGAAGTATGAGCATGCCTCCCAGAATTGTCCACATGTTGTGCAACATTCATTGCTTGGAGGTACCATAATTTATCTATTCACCATTGATGAGCATTTAGATAGCTTTGGCTATTATGAACAATGCTGTTGTGGATATTTGTATACAAATCTGTGTGTGGACATGTATTTCATTTTCTTGGGTAACTATCTGGGACTATCTAGTTCACCTTTTTAAGAACTTGCCTAACTGTTTTCCAAAGTGGTTGTACCATGTTTCATTCCTACTACTAATGTATGAGAGTTCCATTTGCTCTACATTTTTGCTATCATGTCTTTTTAAAATTTTGGTCACTCTCATAAGTGTGTAGTATTACCACATTGTGGTTTTTATTTTTAATTTTAATTTCTGTAATGATGTTGAACATCTTTTCATGTACTTGTCACCTAGATATCTTATTTGTTGAAGGGCATATTCAAATCTTTTGCCCATTTTTAAGCAGGATTTTCATTTACTATTGACCTGTAAGATTTTCTTTTATACTGTAGCTTACAAGTCCTTGTCAGATTAATATTTTATAAATATTTTCATCCAGTCTGTGACTTGGATTTTCATTTTCTTTACTATGTCTTTTGAAGAATAATAGTTTTTAACTTTGATGAAGTACAATTTATTCATTTTTTCATGATTTATATAGTTTTTAAAAAAGATTTAATTTATTTATTTGATATATAGGGGGAGAGAGAGAGAGAGAGAGAGAGAGAGAGAGAGAGCATGAGTGGAAAGGGAGAGGGAGGGACAGAGGGAGAGGGAGAAGCAGACTCTCCACTGAGCAGGGAGCCTAACTTGGAGTTCTATCCCAGGGACCTGGGATCATGGCATAAGCCAAAGGCCAATGCTTAACTGATTGAGCCACCCAGGTGCCCCTCATGGTTTGTAGTTTTTGGCTGTTTTTAAGCACCCTTTGCCAAACCCAAGGCACTAAAAGTTTTTCTAGTGTTTTCTTCTAGAAATTTTATGATTTTAGCACTTATATTTAGGTCTATGATCCACCTTGAATTAATATTTGTATGTAGCATGAGATAAGGGTTGAGGTTTATTTTTTTGCATATGGCTATCCAATTGTATCCCACCATTTATTGGAAAGATTATCATTTCCCATTGAATTATCTTGGCAACCTTTGTTGGAAAACAGGTGACAATAAATGTATGGATCTGTTTCTGGACTCTATTCTGTTTATTGTTGCATTTGTCTATCTTTTTTTAAAGATTTGTTTATTTATTTGAAAGAGAGAGAGAGAGAGAGAGCATGAACACATGCATAAGCAAGGGGAGGAACAGAGGGAGAGGGAGGTAATCTCAAGGAGACTTCCCACTGAGCATGGAGCTCCACTCAGGGCTCGATGTCATGACCCTGAGATCATGACCTGAGCCGAAATCAAGAGTCAGATGCTTAACTGACTGAGCCATCCAGGTGCCCCATATATTTGTCTGTCTTTATGCCAATATCACATTATCTGAAAACCATAGCTTTTTAAAAAATTTTTTTGACTACGGTTGATATACAATGTTACATTAGTTTCAGGTGTACAACATAGTGATCCAACTTCTTTATACCTTCTGTTATGCTCATAAATATGGCTACCATCTGTCACCATACAATACTATTACAATATCATTGACTATATTCCCTATCCTGTGCCTTTTATTCTGGTGACTTACTCATTCCATAACTGGAAACCTGAATCTCCCCCTCTTTTTTGCTCATCCCCTTACTCCCTTCTGGCAACCATCAGTTTATTCTCTGTTTTTAGATCTGGTTCTGCTTTTTGTTATTTATTCATTTGCTTTGTTTTTTAGATCCCCCATATAAGTGAAATCATATGGCATTTGTCTTTCTCAGTCTGACTTATTTCACTTTTCATAATACCTTCTATGTCCATCCACATTGTCACAAATGACAAGATCTCATCCATTTTATGGCTGAGTAACATTTCAGTATATATATGTACTACATTTTCCTTATCCATTGATCACTAAGTTGGACACTTAGGTTGCTTCCATATCTTGGCTATTATAAATAGTGCTGCAATAAACATAGGGGAGCATATATCTTTTTGAATTAGTGTTTTCATTTTCTTTGAGTAAATACTTAGTAGTGGAATTACTGCATTGTATGATATTTCTTATTTTTTTAAGGATTTTATTTATTCATTTGAGAGAGTGTGAGAGAGCGCATGAGCTGAGGGAGGGGCAGAGGGAGAGGAAGAAGCAGACTCCCCGCTGAGCAGAGAGCCCAACACAGTGCTTGATTCTAGAACCTGAGATCATGACCTGAGCCAAAAGCAGACAACCATCTGAGCCACGCAGGTGCCCCACCTTGTATGATGTTTCTATGTTTAATTTTTTGAGGGACCTCCATATTGTTTTCCCCAGTGGCTTTATTGATCTATACTCCCACCAACAATGCATGAGGGTTCCTTTTTCTCCATGTCCTGTCCTTTTGATCCTAGCCATTCTGATAGGTGTGAGGTAATATCTCATTGTGGTTTTGATTTGCATTTGCTTGATGATTAGTGATGCTGAGCATCTTTTTGCGTGTCTGTTGGCCATCTGTGTATCTATTCAGATCCTCTCCTCATTTTATAATTGGATTGTTTGGGTTTTTTGATATGAGTTGTATAATTTCTTTGTATAGTTTGGTTATTAACTTTTATTAGATATATCATTTGCAAATATCTTCTTCCATTCAGTAGGTTGCCTTTTTATTTTGCTGATGGTTTTTTTTTATTTTGATATAGTCCCAGTAGTTTATTTTTTTTATAATAAAAATATAAACTTGCCTGAGGAGACCTATCTTGAAAAATGTTGCTACTACTGATGTCAGAAATTATTGCCTGTGTTCTCTTATGGATTTTATGGTTTCAGATCTCACATTTAGCCATTTTGAGTTTGTTTTTGTGCAGTTTTAGAAGTGGGTCCAGTTTCATTCTTTTGCATGTAGTTATCCAGTTTTCCAGCACCATTCATTGATGAGACTGTCTTTTCCCCATGGTATAGTCTTATCTCATTTGTTATAGATTAATTGACAATATATATGTGGGTTTAATTCTGGGCTCTGTATTCTCTTCCCTTGATCTAGGTGTCTGTTTTTGTGCCAGTACCATACTGTTTTGATTACTACAGCTTTGTAGTATATATTGAAATCTGGAATTGTGATACCTCTACTTTTGTTATTCTTTCTCAAGATCACTTTTGGTATTTGGGATCTTTTGTCCTGTACAAATTTTAGGATTATTTTTTCTAGTTCTGTGAAAAATGCTTCTGGTACTTTGATAGGGTTTGCATTGAATTTGTAGATTGTTTTGGATAATATAGACATTTTATCAATATTAATTCTTCCAATCCATGAACATAGAATATCTCTCCATATGTTTGTGTATGTTTGTGTTGTCTTCAGTTTCTTTCATCAGAGGTTTATAGTTCAGAGTACAGGTCTTTCATCACCCTGGTTAAGTTTATTTCTAGGTATTTTATTCTTTTCAGTGCAATTGTAAATGAAATTGTTTTCTTACTTTCCCTTTCTGCTATTTTGTTATTAGTGTGTAGAAATGTTACCAATTTCTGGGCATTAATTTTGTATCCTGCAACTTTACTGAATTCATTTATTACTTTGAATAGTTTTTTTTTTTTGATGGAGTCTTTAGCGTTTTCTGTTTATAGCATCATGTCATCTGCACATAGTGACAGATTAACTTCTTCCCTACCCATATTGTGCCTCATTTCTTTTTCTTGTCTGAAAGCTGTGACTAGGACTTTCAGCACTATGTTTAATAAAAGTAGGGACAGTGGACATCTTGTCTTGTTTCTGATCTTAGAGGAAGAGCTCTCAGTTTTTCACCATTGAGTATGTGTTAGCTGTGAGTTTTTCATTCATAGCCTTTATAATATTGAGGTATATTCCCTCTAAACCCACTTTGTTGAGAGCTTTTATCACAAACAGATGTTGAATTTTGTCAAATGCTATTTCTGCATCTATTGATTTGATCATATGATTTTTATCCTTCAGTTTGTGGATGCTATGATGTTGACTTGCGAATATTGAACCATCCTGCATCCCCAGAATAAATCCCACTTGATTGTGGTGAATGATCCTTTTGATGTATTGGTTAATGTGGTTTGCTAATTGAAAATTGTAGCTTTATAAGAAGTCCTGGAATCAGGTTGTGTAAGACATATCTAACATTGTTTATCTTTTTCAAATTAATTCTGGCTATTCTAGATCTTTTGCATTTCCTTATTAATTTAATTTAATTTAATTTAATTTATTTTTTTTAATTTAATTTAATTTAATTAAAAATATTTTATTTATTTATTTGAGACAGAGAGAGAGAGATGAGCTAGGGGATGGAGAAGAGCGAAAGGGAGAAGCAGATTCCACACTGAACAGCAAGGCTGATGTGAGGCTCGATCCCAGGATCCTGAGATCCTGAGATCATGACCTGAGTTGGAGGCAGATGTCCAACCAACTGAGCCATCCATTAATAAGCCCCCCTTATTAATTTTGGAATCAGCTATTCAACTTCTATGAAAGAGCACACTGGGATTTTATTGGATTTATACTGAGTGTAGAGATCAATTTGGGAAAAACTGACATCTTAATAGTATTTACTCCAATCTATGAGTGTGATATATCTGTCCATTTATTTAGGTCTTCTTCAATTTTTCTCAGAAATACCTTCTTGCTGTAAGGGTATATGTCTTGTACATTTTAACTTAAACTTTTCTCTAAGTGTTTATTTTTAAAAGGATTTTATTTATTTATTTGAGATAGAGTGAGAGAAAGCAAGCATGATCTTGGGTGGGGGTGGGGCAGAGGGAGAGGGAGAAACAGACTCCTTGCTGAGTGGAGAGCCCAATATGGGGCTTGATTCCAGGACTCTGGGATCATGACCTGAGCCAAAGGCAGACACTTAACTGACTGAGCCACCCAGGCACCCCTAAATATTTTTTTTTATGATATTGTTATTGTAAATGGTCTAGCCCAGTGTCTGGCACACACAAGGTAGACATTGGGCAGAACAAGTCAATCACTGAATAGAATGTATAGGTGGAAATGATCAATGCAGTAAATCATAACTGTACATTTTTAGGACTTTTTCCCTAGCATTCTGCAACATGGATGCAAGAGTGGAGAAAGCAGATGGGTGATACAAGTTAGGAATTGATGGGAAAATGTGTGCCTGTTTTTGAATCTTAGGAAATGGTTGGGCAGAGAGGCAAGACATGGATGCTAGAAAGAACAGACATGAAATAACTAGTCAAAGAGAAGTCTTTCCTATGACAGATTTAAGCTATGTTTCTAATTCTGTAGGAACTGGCACTTTTCAGCTTTTTCTTTGATATTTCTCATGTAGCTTCCTGCATCTATAACAAATTTTCTCCTCTTCTTTTTTCAGTATATCACCAGCCCTGACTCCTTCCTGGTTTTCTTTTCTTTGTGGTGACTTTCAAGATTTTGCTTAACTAGAAACAGAATCTGATCAGTTTTGCTAACATAATTTTATCTGCTTTCCAAATTATGTGACTTCTTGTTGACTGTGAGCAATATATTTTAACTTCTGTGGCTGACAGTAAAATGCTTGTGAGCTGGAGACATACTGTGTGTGTTCTTGGAGAGTCACTCAATCTCTCTGAGCTCCCAAGAAGGCCTCACCGTCTCCACTCTAATATGCTGATTATAAAGATGATGCCCTCTTGATCTCATATCCCATTCCATATTATACACCATCGTGTGACAATAGTGTGTGATTATGATTTGTGTTCATGTTTCAGCTAGATTACAAATGCTTAGAAGATAAGCCCTTTGCCTTTTGCCTTTATATTCCTATGAATGCCTTGCATACTTAAATATTTTTTTAGAAGATGATGTGTCCATGTTATTCTTTTTTAAGATTTTATTTATTTATTCATGAGAGACACACACACACAGAGAGAGAGAGAGAGAGAGAGAGAGACAGAGACACAGGCAGAGGGAGAAGCAGGCTTCATGCAGGGAGCCTGGTGTGGGACTCAATCCTGGGACTCCAGGATCACACCCTGGGTGGAAGGCAGGTACTAAATTGCTCAGCCACCCAGGGATCCTGATGTGTCCATGTTACTGAATTAAGATAATGCATGGAGGGTACCTACTACAGGGTCTGGCACATAGTGGGTGTTTAGTAAACTAGGTCGAAAGCATGTTCAGTCAATATAGGGAATGTTTCTTATTTCCTCACTTTTTAAATGACTCCCTCCTCCTCCATTTCATGTTATTTTGTCCTTTAGCTGATTTAGAAGCCTATTTATCTATTTTTAATTTTGAGGTAATTTTTGCCTTACAAAGAACTCACAAAATAATACAAAGAATTCCTACATATCAACTGATATGTTCTCAGTGCATGATATCAAGGAGGCACATGATGTCCCTTATTGGTGGTGTTAATTTTAATCATTTGGTTAAGGTGGTGTCTGCCAGATTTTTTGTCATAAGACAAAGAACTTTTGTCTTGCAAAGTATTTTTCCCTTTTCAATAAGTATCTGATGGGGAAATACTTTGAATCTATGTAAATATTTTGTTTCTTATCAAATTTTTACTCCCTAACTTTAGTATCTATTGATGATTCTTTCCTGACACAATTATCATGGAGTTTACCAAATAGTGATTTTTTTTATTTCTGTCATTTCTACTTCATCTATTATTTGGCATTTTACTCTAAGGAAGAGATTTCCTTCTCCTTCATTTAGCTAGTTATTCATTTGTTAATTTGTATCAGTATAGAGTCATGGACTCTTATTCAATGAATTATGATACATTAGAATCACCATTACTTGTTTTTTTTTTTTTTCTGTCTTCTTCTTAAACTGTGCAGATGGTAAAATTTGATGGATGGCAGAGAGTATGGGGAGAGAAGTCTTTGAGTACTGTTACAGTTAGAGGTATGCCAAACAGCAAACCCCAAGGATAAGCATTTAGTGATTTACATCAGCGTAATAAGGACCATCATGAAATAAAAAGTGGTGTAGATTATGCTGAAGTATATTGGTTCCTCTCTGTTTCAGGAAATAGAAAGGGTCAATCAGATGTAGTTTAATTGTAAAGGTCACTATAACTTCCCTAACTTTTAGCATGTGGGGATGTATGTTGTTTTTGAATGGACTGTGAAGTACATAGATGAGAATAAATCGAAAATGAAATTTCAGTATCACTCTCTTGGCACAAGATGGCAGCAGTAAGCCATTGATTTTGCAGCCTTTTTTTTTTGTTACCTCTAGACTTAAATTAATGGTGTCTTTTGTTTTTGCAGGGACTTCAGTACTAGTGCTAATAATATTCAGATTGACAAAACTAAGCCTCTGTGGCACAACTATTTCTTGTGCGGATTTAAAGGAATTCAGGTAAATTGGTTTATAAGGCAACTACTAGCTGTTGAACTTATAATGTGTATTATATATCAATAATTATTTTATTTTACTTTATTTTATTTACTTTATGTATTTTTTGGTCACCTTTCAATGCTAACTGATGTTTCTGTTCTATTTTGCTGATTTATATATTTCAGAGGATAATGCAGATAAGACTGTTCCTGGGTGGTGTTCACAGGGGCAGGAATGGTTGTTCATCGGTTACATCTGACAAAAATCCTTCTCTTTTTAAAATCTTTGTTCAAGTTTTCTTTTGAACGATGCAATCTAGTAATATATATGTTCTAATGATATGTAGGTATGTAGTGTAATAGGATTTAAAATCCAACAGCCCTAGGTTTGAATCTGAGCTCTACTCAGCTGCCTAATTCAACCTCTAATTGTTAGGTTTGTTATCTGTATAATGATGTCTTTGCCATCCAGCAAAGAGTTGTTACAAAGATTACACAGTGCTTGACGCATAATAGGGATTCAGTAAGTAAACAACTAGTATTGTTATTACCACTTCAGCTGGGGTTAAAAAAAAAAGATGTAGTGATGAAGTTAGCTAGGATAAGCATTTTCCTTAGAAACATTGAATAATTACCATGACATCTCTAATGTCATGGGCAAGAACAAAAAAATGAAATGTTTCTACTTTTTCTCTGAATTAAAAAGTGTAAAGATGAAAAGAAAATTGAGTTGCTAAATCATTTTGATTTGTTTGTTAAAATCCATGTTTTAGAGTTTGTATTCTTTACTGTCTGGTGGTCCTATATGAAACTTTGTCACGAGTAGCCTAGGACGCAGTGGCATATCCATTACAAAAAAGAATCACATTTATCTCTGATGTGTAGTCCTGTACTCTAATTATGGTGGTTTTGGTCTTAAGAGTTCCTGCATTCATTTCTTTTTTTCTTTCTTTCTTTCTTTCTTTCTTTCTTTCTTTTCTTTCTTTCTTTCTTTTCTCTTTCTTTCTTTCTTTTCTTTCTTTCTTCTTTCTTAGTTTTCCTTTGCCTTTTTCTTTTTCTTTCTTCTTCATCCAGACACATGGTAATAACTTATGGGAAGAGGTATTGGCAGCTTTTAAATCTTCAAGATATTTGGCTTATCATATGCATTAGTGGGAATTACGGTATTTGGAAGGATTTGCCTGGCAAATGCAATTTGATCTTCCTTATAGCAACATGCCTTTTATAGCATATGGGTAAAGTGACCTAAATACTGCATGTTGCTTTGGATTGTTTTTGAGACTTTGAGGTCTTACAGCCTTCTTTTTTTGGTTTGACAACTTATGTGCAAAAGTAGGTTTGTACAATAAACTTTTGGCAGAGAAGTAATTTAAATGTTAACTTGTTTAGAAACCTTCAAATTCAAATACTAGAAAATATCAGGATAATCTGTTTATATTAAATTGAACATGTTATCCTTTTGGGATAGAGCTATTACAGAATTTGGCAAAATCCATTTACATTTTTGAATCTGTTGTACATTTTAATTTAAACATTGTGTGATAAGTTTGTAAGTATGATTCACATTCAGGATACACTGTGGATCAGTTTATGGTTAAATATATAGCATTCTCCAAGGATTTTTTTTAAACAAGCTGTCTGATGTTCTTATGAAAGGGCATTGGCAGCAGCAGTATTTCAGTTTATAATTTGTTTGTATTTCTGGAAAGGGAATTTTTAGATGACTTGAAATCAAGAAGAGAAGTACATCCAACAGAATCTCTTCTTTTTTTTTTTTTTTTTTTTGTGGTGTGTGAGTCTTGCCAACATAGGAAAAAAGGACAAAAAAAAAAAAAAAGGAAAAAAAAACAGCCTTTAATTTGCAGAGTTCTGTTGTTACTTTGGTTATTCTAACTAGTTTACTGAAATTTCTCCCTAGAATAATATGTATGATGAAATGCATAATTATGTAATATAATAGTATTTTGTATTTTGGTCTTGAGCTGTTTGAGTAATTTGCAAACATGATAGTACTTTTTCTAGAGGAGGAGATGGCCTTGCATTTATTTTTAATCCTAAACCACAAAGATTATGATATAATCTTATAATATCATCCTAAGTGTCATCTTAGATATTCATCTAAGTATCCTGGAGATTTCCATCTTTAGATCAGAGTCTCATTATTTCTTTGGGCTTTCCTACTTGTAAAAATAAGAGTTTCTCTGCTTCGTTTAGAGTCTGTGTTCTCATTTGTGGCTGAATTCTAATTTGGCCATCTTGAAAGCTACCATATGGTTTAACTGTATCTATAAACTCTAGTAAAAATCTGGATTTCCTCATATGGCTGACTTATATTAAATCATAGTGACAGTATGCTGGCCCATGTTTCTGACTGCAATGGAGAAGTTCTCAACCAGAAATCAGAGACCTGGGTCCTACTCCCAGCTCCCTATATGTAATGTTGGAAAAAACTTTTAATCTTTTGGTGCCTACGTTTTTCCATAAGTAAAATGAAACTGAAGAAATTTAGAACACTTTTTCTTCAGAGGACCTCTTGAAGAAAGATACTCAATAGAAACAAGCTAGTGCTTTGTGTTAGACTTTCACAGTCATGGTGTGTTGGGATGTGGTACATGGGATTTAACCTGCCTTACTAATAATGTATATTTCTTCTCTTGCTACTTGAAAAATTGAATTATAACTGTCTAATATTTTTTCTATATTTATTCAAATCAACATTCAAAGAAAAGATCATCCAAGGTAATTTTAAGAAATGGATCAATAGCTTTTTGTTGAACAAAGTAAAAAATACTTCAGATTACCGAACCCTATGGCCAAGAATCATTAAATGAAATGTCATGTATAGACTCAACTAAATTGGATTGCACAAGTCATTTCTATAAATAGCATAATAAGTCCATTGATAAACGTTTACTCTCTAGGGAACGAAAAGAATGTTTTACTTCTTCTCAAATCCAACACCAAAGTTACTAGCACTGTTTCTCCTTCTATTCTTAGGAACACTTTGGTCTTAGCAGCCTGACTGGAATGAATTGCTTAGTGGATGGAAACATCCCACCAAGTTCTGGACTCTCCAGCTCCAGTGCTTTGGTCTGTTGTGCTGGCTTGGTGACACTTACAGTGCTGGGAATGAACCTATCCAAGGTAACAAACTTGAATATGTTTACCTCACCGAACTCTCTCTTTCCAAGGCCATTAGTATCCAAATCTCAAAATTATAGTATCTTCCTTTGATTAAAAACTTGGTCTTATCTGAAAGGACTCTACATGTGGGCATGCTCTGTAACCTAAGAAATCAGTAAGTCTTGTTTATGACAAACCATGATAAGGTATCTGATACTTTGGAAATAATAGGCAGATATGTGAATAACTGTATTAAAATGTTCTTACATTAAGTGTGGAGTTTGAATGCATGGACATCTTTTTCGATCACTTCACTAACAAGTTCAGTTTAGACCAAGAAATTATAGGCCTCATTGTTGGATCTGCTTATTTTCAACCGAAACCTTAAATTAAATATTTGACAGGCACTGGGTAAAAAGGGTAAAGAGCAGGCAATAAAGGAACTGAACAGCATATCTGTTTATACTGGCAGGTTAGTCACTGACATAAACTTTAAAAAAAATTGCATTACAAAGAGGAAATGCTTATTTAAAGGAAACATAAATCCTACGAAAGGTTAGAAAGCCTCAATTTTACAAGTTCACATAAATCTCTGACTCTGCAGTTCAGAGCAGGTGTGCTCAGCTTTAATTAATGTTCTGGAGTTCTGGTTCAAGCAAAATGTTATCATAGGTTCTTTTTTATCCCATGTACATAGATGGTTTGGGGAGGGCATCAGGCAGAGCAAGAGAAAGTCAGCCATATGCTTTGTCTTCAGCCTGTTTCAACTGTCAGTTTGAAAATTTTATGTGTAAGAGGAAAAAGAGAAAGGATAAAGCAAAGGCTCAGATAGAGTTCTTCTTGGCTGTCATTTATAACTAACTACACGTTAGTTACCTCTTTGTAAGCTATGGCTTATTTGGTGGGAAGGGTAACTTACTTGTTTTTTGTTTATTGAGAGGTAAGAAAGCAAGAGAAAGAAAGTCCATATGTAAAATGTACTTCCATTGGTACTATGTTTAATCTGATGGTTTATTTGTTTATTCTCTTGGTCATCATTCAACCATTATTTATTTAGTGGCTACTTTCTACCAGGTAATGTTCAAAGCATTGGAGCTATAATAGGTTCAGTTTTAACCCTCACAGTGCTTATGATCTAAAAGGGGAAGAGAGACAAGTAACAGGCAACTATAACAGAGTGTGATAAGTGGATAAGTAGTGTGCTCTGGTTGCACACTAAATGCAGATTTAGAGAGCATGGAGACTTCTAAGCAGAGACATAAGGATTTGTAGATGATAATACTGGTAACATTGATAGGCATGTAATAGGTGGAGGGAAACTTGTGTGGGAATATTTAGAGTAAGAGTGATCATAGATTGTTGGAGGAACTAAAGGGGGCTTAATTTGGCTGGAGTAATTTGAATGACAGGATAGGAGACCAGGTGCTGGGGCTTGTAAACCATGTTGAGGAATATGGGCTTTGTCTTGATAGGAGTGTAAAACCATTTCAGGCTTTTAGGAAGAATGTAACATGGTCTTACCTATATTTTATGAAGATCACTCTGGCTGTATTATAGAATCTAGATATGAGGATAGTAACAATATTAGTAGGAGGGAATTGATTTGGTCTAGGGAAATGGCAATGAGAATGGAGAGACCTGGATCATAGACTTAAAGTACATCTCAGACAGAATCAATAAGACTTGATCATTGATTGGGTATGGGAATGAGGGGCAGAAAAGAGTGAAGGATTTTACCCAGATCTCTGGCTTGGTGTGATTCACTGGAATAGGAATATAGATGAAAGTGAAATGTTGAATAGGGGGAGTCTGTGGTCATGCTGATAGAGTTATCTAGTGTTTAGTCACAGACAATATTCTTGAAGGTCAGGAGGAAGATCTGGACTTGAGATGACCCATTTGAGAGTCATTAGTGTTATTTGGGTTTTGAAGCCATAGGAGTAGAGAAGAACATTCAGTGGAAGAGTATAAGTAGGAAGATAAGGAAGACTAGGACAAGGGGAACAAGGGCTTGACAAGCATGAATATTTAAGGGATGGGCTGAGGAAAAGATGTCCACTAAAGAGACTCAGAAGTAATCAGATAGATAGAAGGAAAATAAAAAAAGATGAGACAACAGCAAAGACAAGGAAGAGAGTATTTCATGAAAGCAATGGTGTCTAATGCTACTGAGATGTCAGGTAAGACAAAGACTAAGAAGCATCCATTGGATTTAGCATCAGAGAAATTGAAGAAAACCTTGGCAAGAACAGTTTAAAATAGGAATGAGTTAAAGGGTCTATGAGAGGTGAGAAAGTGGGTAAGTTCAATTGGTACAAAAAAATCTGACTGTGCTGGTGAAAGAGATAATCTGATGTCTGTGGTGGGGGTGAGGTCAAGGAATTCATTTATTAATGAAAGGATTGGTGAAAAAAAATTTTTTTTTGCATTTTTTTGGGCCTTTAATGGTTTCCTTTAGTATCTAAGAGAAAAGAAGAAAAAAATGTTGAAAAATGTTGAAAAAACCCACTCGAAACTTTGGAATTAATTTTAGCTATCTCTGTGTTTTCTTTTTTTTTTTTTATTATAAATTAATTTTTATTGGTGTTCAATTTACCAACATACAGAATAACACCCAGTGCTCATCCCGTCAAGTGTCCCCCTCCATGCCCGTCACCCATTCACCCCCACCCCCCGCCCTCCTCCCCTTCCACCACCCCTAGTTCATTTCCCAGAGTTAGAAGTCTTTATGTTCTGTGTCCCTTTTATCTCTGTGTTTTCAAAGTCAAAAATAGCAAATGTGTTGGCATGAAAAGAAATACATGGATCAATAGAACAGAATAAAGAGCCCAGAAATAAACCCATGCATATATGGTTGATTAATTTATGACAAAAGTGTCAAGAATATATAACGGGGAAAGGACTGTCTCTTCAATAATTGATGTTGGGGAAAGCTGGACAGCCACATGCAAAAGAATGAAAATTGAACTGCTGTCTTATACCATACACAAAAATTAACTCAAAGTGGATTAAAGATTTGAACACAAGACCCGAAAAACTCCAAGAAGAAAACATAAGCATTAAACTCCTTGACACTGGTGTTGGTAATAATTTTTTGAATTTGACAACAAAAGCAAAAGTACAAAAACAAAAATAAACAAGTGGGACTACATCAAAATAAAAAGCTTTTGTACAGCAAAGGAAACCATCAACATAAAAAGGCAATGTACTGAATGGGAAAAAATATTTGCAAATATTTATCTGCTAAGGGGTTAATATCAAATATAATAAAGAACTCATATAATTCAGTAGCATAAGAACAAATAATATGATTAAAAATGGGGATACTTGGGTGTCTCAGCGGTTGAGCATCTGCCTTTGGCCCAGGGCGTGATCCCAGGATGCTGGACTATAGGATATAATCCACCAAAACCAGGGAATAAACCAAGGAGGATGACATGGGAACTAGGAAATGGGAAATCCAATATAGTAGAAAGGAATTGGGTATTTATAGAACATTGGTTAAGACATACATAACACCCATGACACCCGGAAGCTTAGGAAACAGTAAAGATTAGAACCAGGAAAGGGAGGGAAAAAATGGAATTTATAAATATTATCAGGAAAAAATAAAATAACAAGTGGTAAATCTGACATGTTTGACTATATGGAAAAATGAATTGAGAGTGATTTTACAGAGTTATTGTTTGGGGTAGGAAGGCTTAGTTGGACCTGCAAATAAAACTAAGGAAATGAAGAAATTAGGCAATTATTAAGTATAGGAAAACCACAAAAATAATTGTTCCAGAAAGGAAATCAACAATTTTTCATGACTTGGCTCCTAAGTGAACACTAGTCTCAATAATAAATACACCAAATATGGATTTAAGCAATAATTTTTGGCATAAATTTAGATTAGGAGGAAGGGAAAGTCTAAGAGAGAAAATCCTTACTCTAATATGAAGGCTGTAGATAAAGTTTAAAATGGAATAGCAAGGAAATAGTATTTTACTCCGCTTATTTGATACTTTTTTCAAATTTAAATATTTTTTCTTTTTAAAATGTTTTTAAAAATTTAAATTCAATTTGCCAACATAGAGTATAATACCCAGTGCTCATCCCATAAGTGCCCTCCTTAATGCCTGTTACCCATTTACCCCATTCCTCCACCCACCTCCTCTTCCACAGCCCTTTGTTTCCCAGAGTTAGGAGTCTCTCATGGTTTGTCTTCCTCTCTAGCAAGAGCTAATAGTGGAAAGTGACTCTGGGCATGCTGCACTGGGATGGGGATGAGACGGGGGAGAGCTATGTTGTTTTAAGCCTTGCAGCTCCTTTGATCTTTTAGATTATGTGCATATATCCCTTTAGCAAAAGTAAAAATTAACTGAAAATAAAGAAAAGGATGGTAAGAATGGGTGAATGGAAGGTAAAAGTAAGGGAGGGGAACTGGAGGGTGGACATGAAGATGCAAGAAAGGGATTCAAGGCATCATAGTTAGAGATTGAGAACAGATGAGCTGTTGGGGTGAGACCAGTTCAGAACAGCCTAGGGAGAGGCTTGCTGATGGGATTTGGGTGAAAGGATCTAAGAAAATACAGGCGACTTCCACTTAACATGAGTCCATTCCAAAAATCAGTTGTTCTGCAAAAACTCATAGGCCTAATTCTTATATTTTAGTTAGGAGAAATTATAATGCATTACTCTCAACTCAGAAACTCTGCCTAATTTCCTACTATGTTACAAAAACACAGTAAAAATTCCTCCATGTAAGTAACACAGAAATACAATGAAAAATACTTAAAACAGTCTTCTAGGACATGAAACCATTAATTTGATTGTTAAGAAGCAGTTACTTTACATAGTAATACACTGTATGTCTTCTTGAGGACACCTGGTATCCCAGTATACTGTACATTATTTTGTACAATGTTGTTTTTAGGCTTTAGGATGTAAATATATGTATATTTACATAAATGCCTTTAAAAAAGTGTTGTATTGATATATGTAGCCTATGAAGTTTGAGAATCAAAAAACCACGTGTT